TTTTTTGCTTGGGGCGGCAGAAATGCTGGAGCAGGCCCTGCCCCTGCAGCCCCATCCAACCCCCCTTCCTTCCTGACTGTCCCCCCCAGAACCCCTGCCCCCATCCCCCCCAACCCCTAACCACACCCCTGCCCCCTGACCACCACCCCAAACTCCCCTGCCCTCTATCCAACTCCCCCTACTCCGTGCCCCCTTACCGCGCTGCCTGGAGAGCCCAGCGCTACAGCCGCGGCGCCCGGCTGCAGCCAGGCCACACTGCTGCCGCCACCACACAGCAGAGAGCACTGGGTCAGGCCGGGCTCTGCAGCTGCGCTGCCCCAGGACCTCACAGCCCCGCTGCCCAGAGCATTGTGCCGGCGGCAGAGCGAGCGAGCTGAGGCTGTGGGGGAGGGGAGACAGCAGGGGAGCGGCCAGGGACGAGCCTCCCGGGCCAGGAGCTCGGGGGCCGGGCAGGACAGTCCTGCGGGCCGGATGTGGCCTGCGGGCCATAGTTTGCCCACCCCTGCTATATATGAACAGGTGTCCTTTTCCTTTGCCTTTCATTGTCCACTACTACCCCCATAACACACTCAGGTAAAAATTCCCACTACACATACCACATACAGATGTTATCATCTGTAGGAGGAGAGCCTTGCTTGGGAGGGCCTTGTAAGATCTGGCAGAGCAGAGCTGTCCAACACACCTTATATACAAACCCAATTTCCAATTTGGGTGTTCACTTAAAAGAAATCCCCGGGAAATTTGTAATACCAAAAAGAGAGATCTGCCTCCCCACTAAAAACCACCATTTCTTTTTCAGTTGAGTCCAGCTAATACCCAAAAAGGAATATGAAACTTTCCTTTTTAAAAGCATACACCTTTTTAAAAAGCCAGAGTGTTGCAATGTTTGGAAGTGAGTAGTTAAGGGATCCATCTAGTTTCCCACTATCAAGTAATCTTCCATCACTTGTTTTTACCCCATCCATCCAAAGCCAACATGGCCTTCAAAACATTTAGAAACAAATATTCAAAAGTAAACTCTTTGGGGGCAGGTATCCTCTTTGTACAGTGTCTAGCATAATGAGGCCTGACCTGGGATGGAGACTCTGGGCTTACTGGAATTAAGATAATGATAATAAATAACAATATTTAACTGATTAGTAGGAGATTATAAAATGTTATGTTTTATTAAGGGGATCTACTCCAATAATTTAGCCCTGAAGGGATTGTGATTTATCTGATCTTATACTTGTTACTGATCCAGGATAGTGGCCCTTTGTTTTTGGTTTTTATTTTATTTAATTTTTACCAGGAATTTATCAGTGTTTATTTCTACAACAAAAACGGGTGAAAATTGGTGGAAAAACTATTAATATTTTTCTGGGTAAATATTGGGGGTTATTTTGGTGGACGGAAGGATGGGGAAAAAGTATTCAGTAGATTAATGCTTTGATGAATGGAATTCAATGTGGTTTGCTGCAAAACTAAAACAGAACTCAAAACTCAATGCCATCTCTGAGTTTAATTAAACAATATATCGCTAATCGCCAAATAAAACTTTTCATTTGAATAAACAGTTTACTGTTTAGACTTAGAACTATTAGCCTATAAATATTTACATTTAATAATTGGGCCACACCATTTGCAGCACATACAATCAACTTCATCCTTTTCTCCTGTTTTTTTTAACTTTCAAATATTTCCTTGTGTTTTGAAACATTTTGATAGAGATTTTTATTTTCTTCCCATTTTAGTATGTCAGATCTTTAAAGCGTTATCTGCTAACAGCTTGAAATGTGTATGTGGTGGGTGTGAGATTCATCAGTACCTTCAGATGTGCATGCACTTCAGAGTTTGTGTGCATGCCTGTTTGTTTGTTGTGTGTATTTTCTAGACTAATACATATAGCCTTACTTCAACAGGCAGCTTTGCGTATACATGCAGACTAATATATTATCATAATTCATATATCTCATGCAACATATTGTATTTTCCTAATAAAGTAAGTACTTTTTTTATATATTTGAATGAGACAAAAATAGGGTGAAAATCGGAAAAAACTGAATAATATTTTTTGTAAAACCCAGGATTTTTGCCATAGAAATCGGTTTAAACTGAAAACAAAGGGACTTACACATTAGTGATGGAGGAATTCAACATTTTGCACCTTTCTGGCAAGGTGATTTTATTTATTCATTTATTTATTGCTTTTTACAAAGATAGCGATATGAGGGGGTTGAGAGATTTGATACGTTAGAAATAGTTCAGCTGGATATGGATTAATGGGTAGAACGCAGATGAAATGTTCAAAGTTCTGTGATAAATACATAAGTACAAGTACAATTTTTCATATTGGAATCACTGTCACTTATGTGGCCAAATTCTGTTCTCAGTCACACTGATTTAAATTAGGAAGTAATGCCATTAGGCCTGATTCTCTCCACATTTACATTGGTGTAACTCAAACTGGAGTAAGATATACTGGTGTAAGTTATTTTTTACTCCAGTAGAGAGTGTTTACAGTAGGGATTTATAGTAGTGCAAAGAAACCTATCGTAGACAAAGCCTGTAGTCTAGAAATGCTACTGTAACTCTAAAACTCTGTGCTGAATTTTTAAACATGGACAAGTAGTAAGACACCCAAATTGTCCCTTTTCAAGCTGAATGGGCACTTAGTTGAGTAAGAAGGGGAATTTATGATTGTAGGAGCTGTTATGAGCATCTAGATGTGCAGTTTGGACATTCTTTTTGGTTGAAAATTGGGCTGTTATTTGTGTATATTGGGCCACAGTAATATCTGCCACGTATAGGCACTTCACATATTTTTCACTTTTGGATGTGTGAAAATGTTAATATATTTGATAGTATGAAAACTCTGTGCTACATACCTAACTGGAATGCCTATTTTTGTTTAGCTGCCGAAGGAACAGAGTTCTCACTTACTTTGGTTTTCTGGTGAGATCTTCAAGCACTATATATCGCCTTTCAATCATGATCCATAATGCCGGTGATCGTGTTAAAACATTTTGTGTCTTGAACGTTTATGATACAAATATATTTTAGCTCTCTGATGAAGACATCACAAGAATAAATCATCAACTGCTTGACTTTG